ATATATATATATATATATATATAGCGAAAACTGAACAAAAATAGAAAACGGAGGAATTGACGAAATGAATGTGTCAACAGGAGGAACGGTTCTTGTTTCCAGTGTATCCTATGATTTGTCTGACAGGCGCTATATCGGTGGATATCGTACAGAAATTATACTTTTATGTCAGAACGAAGTTCGATCCATCGCACATCAGTTGCCACTATTTGCAGTATACTGCGCACATCACCGTTCTGGCGATACTAACATGCGGCCTCTTGGGACTGTCAAGATCGTTGGCGATATATAAAGGTATAGTATATTGTACAGAAGGCAATTTTTTTTGTTTAAACAATAGAGTTTAATAAAGATTATCACTATGCGTTAAGGATACTATGCCCCCATGGAAATTATGACTGAAGTCAACAAACTGGGTACGGAAGGCGAGGTACCTAACGACGTTAACATAAACTTTTGCGTTGGAAAAGAATGGCATCGTTTTCCCAGCAGTTTTTTCTTTCCGTCCAACAAGTGAGTGGAAAAATTGGCGCACAACAGATGCAGAGTTTCATCGAAATCTCCGGGTTTTGCGAAATTCCCTTATTGAGGGGAAAGAGACGTGTTAAAGAATAAATCAGACATACAATACAGAATATTTTTTTTTACATTTTAATTTGACACATTGTTCTTATACAACGCTGAATCATTTTCAGTTGGAAGTTACAGTACCTGAGGTCCGAATTTAAAGGACAGCTACCTCAGCCTTTCTTAGATCATGAAAACGCAACGAGTGTAATCCAAGCGCATTTTAACGATATGAATAAAGAAGAACCATCGCGCTACGTAAGTACTTATTTTATACACAGGCAACAATATTTTGTATTTAGTTAAATTCCGCGATTAAATTTCACAGATCAATTCTCATAATCTTTTGCTTTCAGTTTAATCTAGATAAATGCCACTTTCTGTTAGACCTGGATGTAGAAACTGAAACAGCCCTGGAACCGAATTACTCTCGCCTCAGTCATCATTTCACTATTGTGAAATCTTCTAAATTCCTAGACGCATCAAAGTAAGTCTGAAGTTTTTATACTGAACGTAAATAATGAGAATTATATTTATGTCCGATGTATATATCCTATTGTCATTTATGTTACAGATCGCATCCATTCTTCAGAGCTTTTTACATTCCATTTGTATCTCATAAGTTTTGTACATATGGTTCATATAATTTGTTACAAAGTAACAAGTTTAAATCCATGCTTTTGTCATCGAAGCAGAGGAGTTCCAAGTTTTCTCAAGCAAAGGACAGCACTTAATAAGTTAATACAATTAATTTGATATAAGAAAAAAAATTAATTTATATTTTATTTATTATTTTCAATAATGCATGTTTACTAGTAACTGTAAATGTAACTAATATCCGCACTACGATTGAAAGTAATAATGTGTATGTATATAGGTGTGTATATATGTATAGTAATGTATACATATGCATATATAATTTCGCGTAAGAGTGATCGGTTCTAGGGATCGATCGATGATCGATCTCGATCTTCAGTCCATACCTCAGCTATATACCTCAACTTTCAATCTCAATCCTCATCCCATCTACATTTTATGAAAGAGATATAAAAGGCGAGTAAACTTACATTCGTAAAAGCTAAACTTATTAAAAAACATAGAGAAACTGGCATTGGACAATGCCAAGATGCTGCAAACTAATACATATATACATATAAAGCTTAAGATATTTATAGATCTTAAGATTCTTAAGATTTTTGAGGTAGATGCAAATTTTTCACTAAATAATAGCTGAGCTTATAACAAGCACGTACCGAGCTGTAACAGACAGCTGTAAAAAGAAATCGACAAAAAAAAAGTAAGCATTTTGGCCACAATTGCCAAGTAATTCTATGTTTTTCGGTTTTGTAAAATGTATATTGGAAAATTGAAAGTTTATAGTGAGAATAAAAACGTATGTCGATGACAAATGCATATTCTCTCTCCTCTTCTAATATCAAAGCTTCTTGCCAAGCTTCAGGGTACTCGACAGACCCATCATCCTTACTACAAAGTAATTTATATATCTAGGCAATTTGTTTATTTATAAACATCCTAATCAGTGGAATCGGTTTCTTGTGGTACACCGTATTATAAGTGTTTAGAGCAATAGGTATTTCTTCAGCTTTTTCCTCTTCTGAGTCTTGTTTTCGTGAAACATCTTTGTACCAAATTAGGATACCTTTTAAAACACTGAATAAAAGTGCGTAATCCTGTACTACATCTTTCTGTTCTGAAAGTCTAGAAGAGTCTAGAAATCAGTAATAGAAATTCCCTCCAAATTGCGTCAGACTGTATGTACCTGCAGCGATATCAACAAACAAATCAACAGTTTTTTCATTCATAAACCAAATTATAATTATAATTCTAATCTTATCCTAATGATAATAAAATTTGAATATATACTAGTTCAATGGAGTACTACATCATAATCATTATTTTTGAATTTTTAAGAGCAACCTTCATTCAAATTTTCATTAACTTATCAATTAATATTAATGCATGTACACCTTTTTATCAACATTAATATTAAAATATTAATATTTTGTTTCGACACATAGCATACTAAACTTGTTTAAGTTAAAAGAAAGAAGACCAAATTACAACGAAAATAGCATAACTAATAATTTCATTGCTAATTTCACACAGGTTGCTAACATTAGTTAATCATTTTGCATAAACAATTCCGCCGGTAAACGTCAAGCTAGATTTAAATTCAGTCGAAATTTCTAGATCACGAAGGCTGCGTTTGGATTCGAGAAGCGTGTCATCAGCGCTATTGCATTATTTCGTTCGAGTTTTACGTCTATTAACGATAAAAATAAAATGACAAAATAACAATTCATGGCACGCTCCCGAACTAGCTCGAATGCAGCTGAAA